AGGCGCGGGGCGTTGTGTCTTGGCCGGCCGTGCGCCGTGCGTAGGTGCCGCCCGTGACCTTCCGGCTCCAGGCTCGGGGCGGCACGAAGGATGAAACGTAAACAAAGTCCAGCCGGGCCTGACCGCCCAGCACACACTCACGTTACCGATAGCGATTGTGTTTCTATTTTTGAGATCCATAGGATTTCTTGTCCGAAGGTAGTACGAAAATTTGCCGCCAAAACTGCCAAGGTATATAATGTGAGTAGATTGGCTTTTTGCAAAGATGTTATCACAAATCTTGTGCATAACAAATTGTATGGGTAACTGCTTATTATAAACACGGCAGCAATAGCGAGCAAAAAATTACTTTGGCGGTGCCATTGATTCCCCCGGGCTTGCCCATCGTCTCTCCGACCATGTTACCCTACGGACCGAAAGAGTAGGCAACCCGCACGCACATCTGCATGCGGTAAATTTAACTATGGAAGGGCGCGAGGCAAATCTGCCACTTGCGTGCAAAAAATATGATTGCCTTAATTCGGACAAATAACTGATCCAAATCCTGTGTGTATGCGCTCGGAGCTAGTGAGTGATGATAGGCAAACTCGCCCGCACTTCTGTGTGCGCGCTCGATACCGCTCCAACGCGGGGCTGGACTCGACACAAACAGAATACGCCGATTTAGGAACGTAAAGGAAATAACGATACACAAAGGGATTTGTTTTGGAAAGTGTCTTTTATTCACATTCCAGGAGTTTTAAAATATTTATCACATACAAAGTCAAGATTTAAAAAAGAAAAACAATCTAGGTTCAGTCTTTGATTTAATAGTGGCTGAGGCCGGAGTAGCCCAGACCAGAGTAGCCGAGACCAGAGTAGCCGAGACCAGAGTAGCCGAGACCAGAGTAGCCAAGACCAGAGTATCCCAAGCTGGAGTAGCCGAGGGGGGCGTGCAGGGGAGCGGCGATGGCGGTCTTGGTGATCAGGGGGGCGGAGTAGCCCAGGCTAGAGTAGCCGATGGGGGCGCCGTAGCCGTAGCTGCCGGCCCCCCCCACCAGCTCCCACGGGCGGCACGCGAAGGCGTTGACTCCCGCACACACGCACAAATTTAGGAAATACCGCCAGACAGATTTTTTTTTGTGGGTGCCGTGCGATTCTACGTCATATTGGGACACGCTTAACTTAAACCTTGCCGAGGTTAGCGGTATTTTTGTCGGGCGTTAATGTTGGTCGGACGCCACTTATACGTCCATGTGGGTCACGATAGGTTATACACGGAGAGAAAAGTTCGGGTCATACACCCAAAAGTTTAGATAAATTTGACCGAAAAGTACTATCCAAACTTTTTCAGATGTGGTCACCAAATATTCTGGTGCTGAGTCTAAAAGTACTGGTGCAGAGTCAATAGGTTTCAGCCTGACGCCGAAACTGATTAGATGTACCGTTAAAAAGAACAATCCAAACTCCGTTTTGCTGCCTACCCTGAACTTCTCTCTCCCTGTAGGAAGAGTGTTTTCTCTCTCATTTTTAGGTTTTGATTTTAAACAACATAG